GTATACGGAATACTCGGCCTTCCCAATCCGAGTGTCCGGCGGGGGTTGTGATTCCTTTCAGCTGTTTTGCCGGCTCACCGACGCTAAATGGCGCCTCCAACATAGGCTCGTAGTCTAGATCCAAGTTCACACCCCCTGGCACAAGTACCCCAGTCTTGTGCCGAGCGCTCTGCTTAGCAAACACCCAGACGTCCCCCGACCACCCAATTTATCATCTCCGAAATCCTGCGGTACAGGCTACTTTCCTCCTGGGAGGTCATTTTCACCACAATAAGTTCAGGGACGACTTGCATAGCCTAAGATCCTACTCACACGCCGGGATGGAGCGTACACCAACGTCCAGCTTCTCATGTACGCTCCACCATGGGTTGCTACCCCACTTACGCTCCCGAGTAGACCTATCTGCCGAAAGTTTGGCCAACAATTCCTTACTGCTTTATACTCGCCTCTCTCCAATCGAAAACAATGCATTGTGCGTGCCGCACATCTAGCTCCGCAGTATTTGCGTGGTTGGTCTGGTCGTTCAGCTTGCTCGACGTGAGTAATAAGCTTTGCTTTGATGGCNCGACGTGAGTAGTAAGCTTTGCTTTGATGGCTCTATGTTTTATCGATCCACTTCAAGCAACGAACCCCCCCCCCCCCTCCACCGTCCGATCCATTTTGGATCTCACGCCGGACAGTTTTGGGGTGTCTTAGCTCTAAGTCCTCCACCGCCCAATGGGGGACGTAAGTATTTTTTTAATGCCGTACCAATAGGCATTAACCTTAGGTAAGGTTAAGCCTATTTTGGACTGTACCCTCCTCGTCCTCTGGGGGAGGTAGAGAGGGGGTTTTCTGCATGGCCTCTATTTTTCAGGGGGGGTTCGGGTACTGGTTGTGGGGCGGATCTATTTGTACTGCATTCTCGAATTGTGCCCTCACTATAGCTACTGTGGATTTTCAGTATACAGCTATCCTTACTCAACGCGTCTATGTGTCCGGCAATCTCCGATACCGATCAACCTGTGAGCTTTCCGTAT